AGCAGTGGGTTTATCGGGCAGCTGAGTGAAGTGGAGCCTGTGGCGGAAACACCGGAACCGTCTGGATGTGATAGTCCATGGAGGTGCTGCGGTGCTTGGCTACGCAGATAGGTAACGAGGCGAGAAGGGGGTGGGGGTGGAGAGCAGAGGTAGAGGGAGGAGTGACTCTTTGTTTTGGTCTACAGGCAGTGCACAACAGCAAACCTAGCGGTCAAACGATTTCGCTTTTTGCCCCTTTAAAGTTAACCTGCCATATAGCCTCAATAACCAACTCCAACGCAACATCTGGGTAGAATTAAGGTATTTCTGGAACCATGCTGAAACATTATATTTTATATACATTCTAAAATATTTTCAAGTTACATACGCAATGTAACATAACTGTTAATATCCAAGTCTAGCATTAACATTACCTTCACGTTACATTGCCCGTATGGCAAGTGTATCGCTTACATAGAATAACTTTAGCTAAGTATTATTAACGTGGTAGAGCTTTAAATCTTCTAACCTCACACAGACGGCCAACATATAAATAAAATTTTAACAGAATGTCACTCACCAAAACCTCACTGGTGTCTTGGACAGTTAGTTGGTACAATTCTCTGCACAGCAAGTCTTATTATTTGTCCAGTATGTGTACAAAAAAACCTCTACTAGGCTCCGACCAGCTGGCTCCGACACCTTAAACACAGCAAAGAGATTAAGTTGAGTGGCCTGTGGTGACGCCGAGCAGACAGCCTGTTAGTCAAAGTGTCCATGCCCTTAATTATGCAATTATGCCTTAATAACATTTAAATGAGATTGTCTCGGCTCACTTTTTTGGAAAGTTAGCATTCGAGAACCAATTTTCTGAGTGTGGAGCCATCACTGATTTGCTTCTTATCTGGGGCCTCTGTTGGGGAGCTCCTGAAATTATTTTAAATTATTTTAAATCAGTGTCGAATCAGGGCTTAAGTTGTAGTGTTAACTAGGTATAACGCAACATGGGTGAAGATCTTCCTCGAAGCTGAGGATGACATCTTTGATCCTCTGGGGATGCTTTCAGATAATTTTAGAGTAACAGAGGAACAACAGAAACACTTGACTAGGTTTGTGTGTGCTTCCTATTACTCAAAAGAAATCACAATAAGAAACATTCCAAAGCTGAGATGGCACATTTTGACAAATATAAGGCAGAGAGTAACAAGCTACCATCTACAGAGGATGCGTTGAAACAGCTTATTGGTGGTTGATGGGGGAACTACATGTGCAAGCTTGAGTTTGGGACCAGACAAGTGTTCCTCTGCAAAATGGCTACTACGTGGATGATAAAGGCCAGTTGAGACCCACCACCACTGATGTACTACCAGCTCTTCAGGCCATCATTGAAATGGTGAGAAGCCACTGCACAGGATGTTGTCAACACAAAGATGTTCCTGTAGGTCAAGAGACTTACAATGCGCTGACCTTAGCTGTTGCAGTTAACAGTGTGAGAATGATGAGGACTCAAATCTAAAAACCAGGATTAAGATCAGAGTGATACATTAAGATTAGGAATGACATTTCAAATTGACAGGCAGTCACTAAAACTATAATTACTGCCCTGTCGTTGCATGCCTCCGCACACCAGTCCAGTTTCTCTGACAGTTTCCCCATCCATGTCTGCTTCACACACGTAAGATCTATACAACCAGCACAGTTTCAAGATTAGAGTCACTTATTCAGTATCTCACAAAATGTCTCCCCTTCTGTGCCTAAGATATGACACTGAATAATGGACAGAAAAGTGTTTTACGCAGAACATTATGATGTCACAGTGAAGTTGACCTTTGACCTTTTGGATATAAAATGATACTACTTCATCATTTTATCCTATTAGACATTTGTGTAAAATGTTAGCATATGGATTCTTGAGGTATGGCCAAAAACATGTTTTATGAGGTCAAAGTGACCTTGACCTTTGACCATGAAATTCAATTAATGCATATCCAAGTGACTGTTCTTAGTTTATGTGAATATCTCAGTAAACAAAATGTATATTTAGCCATAAAAGTAAACAACAGCATAGCTTGGAACCTGACTTTTTTTTTTTTTTTTTTTTTTTTAAAAAGGCATTTTGAACATTCACCATTTTTAAAATCCAAAATGGCCGCCATAGTTTGAAAAAAAAAAATTAAAAATGGAAACATTCGTTTTCATATTCCTCATGTTCTAACAATTCCAAAAATGTATAGTTTATCAAATTCCCAAAAATTTTGAACAAAAAAAAAAAAAAAACATAACGAACTGGACTATATTATGGTTTATGACTTACATAACTTCTTAGCTTTGAGGTTGTACAGATTTCTGGGATATAAAATACCTAAAATGCAAATGTATGCACTGGGAAAATATTTCTACTGCAGATGAAACTATCAAAATGGCTTTGCACTCTGCTAATAAAAATGAGCATATCTCAAAAACTAAAAAATGTTCATAGTTCAAATAAATAACAATAAATGTTGAGAAACATTTTGATCATGGTTCTACATTTAGAAATCTTTTGGACCAATATGTACTCTTTTTAAATTGATCAAAAAACATGTCAATTTTTTTAATTCATTACATAATTTCAAAACTTTTATTATTATGGTTTATTGACTTACATAATCTTTTAGCTTATGTTGTACAGACTTTAGAGATATGAAACATTTAAATATACTCCAAGAAATGACATCACAATAAGCAAAACTACCGACATATGCACCAATGGACCGCATCTGTGGAGTTCAAAAGGTTTAAATAATAATACAAGAAATGTTTTTTTCTTCCAACTGACACATTTGCTGGAAATATAAAATATAAACAGCTTATTTATTTTTATTTGCCCTTTTTCTTCTACTGAATATATTGTCTTGGGTTAAGCGAGCATTGTTCAAATTGTTTTAGTGATAGAAACTGCTGAAACAAAACAGCTATTGTAAGAAATCAGCTTCTTTATTCAATCACAGTTACTGAAAAAGAAACTCCAGTGATTTGCTAAAGTAGAAAACAGAGACTTGTACTCTCTCATTTCACATAGCATGTACAGTATGATGTCTTCACTGAGGTGGGACAGGGGCACACACAAATCTAACAATACAAACACATTTATACTGAAACCATCACATCCTGCACAAACAACAATGGTTTCAAATAATCTCTTAAACGTGCACTGAAAAACAAAACTGCCTCTGGGAAAAAACATATCAGTTAAGTGAATAGCTGAAGAAAGGAATATGAGAGGGAGGAGGAAATGATCTTCATAGTGGCCAGCAGTCAGACATTACAAAGAGGCAATGTCATGTTTAGAGGATTGCTCATAGACACTGTAGAAAGTCCATGACATTGTCATAACAATGGCACAATATCACAAAATATGTTGCTGGCAGTGTTTTGTTTCATTTGTGCCATTCCATAAACCATGTCTTGCTCCACAACTACAAACTAACGCCTCCAGTTCAAGTGTTTTACAAACTAATACATTTTTGCAGTCTAGCTACCAATGAGCAGCACTTTATTCAAAAAATGTTATGAGAAAAAAAAAAATCAGCAGCCAGCTTTAGAGGTCTGTTGTTTCAATCTGGAATTCAACATTCTTTGAGACAAGTTGAGAGACATGTAGCTGGGAATGTAATTTTAATTAACAGAGGTTTAAATAGGGTAATAACATTCCTTGTTATCTTGATGAAAATGCAGTAAAATCCAGCTGTCCAACAGCATACTGCTGCTACACTGATTATAGCCTGACAGAAAAGATTCCCTCTGCACAGAAATTCTAATTACTGCAGTTGTAATTGGTTCCAGTTGGAGAATATTATTTATTTATACAGTAAAGCGGATGTAAATTACTTGTGGCTGGGGAAACACAAACACGTGTTGTTACATTTATTTCGTGTAAGGACACAATCTGATAATGGTGCTATTAAAGAATTCAAACAAGGCTCCATGACATTAAAACTGTACATATCTTTGCTTTTAGGGTCAAAACATTAATTACAGTGGCCTTCATGAAAACCTTTGCTTGATACTTCTTTTACACAAATCCTTGACAATATCTTCTGAGTCAAGGTTTAAAGCTGTATAAATCCATTAGGTCAAAGAGTACTCGAGCATAGGAAAGTAAAGCCCTGTTTCCAACAAACACTTTCAGCATGGTACCGTGGGAACCAAAAGTAACACAGACATGTTACCTAGACCCTAGGTCCGTTAAGTGTTTTGACCTCAAACAGTACTCTTTAATGTGGGCGGGTTTTTTGACACTCACTGTATTTCCTCATCACTGGTGACACAGATGGAAGTCTGCATTTATTTATTGTCCACAGAATGAGGTTGCACACCAACATTTTCAGAACAAAATAGAACAGGCTGCAGTGAGAGTCTCTCTCCATGGGATATTTAAAAAAGCAGGTTTGTGTATTTAGTCCTCAGGCAAGCACAGGGGTTTACTGTCGCCATAGCCCAGAGGAACAATGCTTTGCAGCGCTTTTTTTTTTCTCCAAGTGAGTATTAAATATATACAGGTCATATAATCCCATTGACATAAATATATATTTTTAAATGCTTGAAGATTTACTCGGGATTAAAAGTGTATGTCATCAAAGAGAGACAATAAAAACTAATGGAATGGTCAAAGTTGTCATATTGAGATTTAAGTTGTGTTGATGGATTCACGTCGACTCATGCATTGAATAACATTACAAGTAGGCCTAAATGTTCTACCTTAAAAGTTGCCAGCAGTCAGCCCAGTGAATTAAGTTATTTTTTTCTACAGATGCTGCCAGAGGCAGCAGAACATCCTTTCACTTTAGAGTTACAGTTTACTAATACACGTAAAACTTTCCACAGTATGAACAGCTTCAAAACCAGTCACAACTCAGTCCTGAGCAAGAGTGACCATCCTCTGCAGTGTTTCTAGCTCCACCTTTTAGTACCAGATCAGTGTGCTAGGTGCCCCAACAGAGGGGTGACCAAAAATGGAGACGGTATGGAATGGTCCCATTGGTACCATCCACAACTTTTCACAGGGGAAACAGAAAACATGTGTACTGAACTGAACTGAACGATAGCAGACTGCTTGGTGGAAATGGGGCTTAATATGGTATGAGTGACAGAAAATGCTGTTCTGGTTTTGGCTAGGTTCTGTAGATAATGGTGTTTGTAATTATACAATTGGAAGGAAAACTAAGCCACACAGGTATCACACACACAGTAGACATTGGACAAATCAGAAAACATTAAAAATCTGCTGTTCTAAAATCTTTCTTGCTCTCCACAGAAAAGCTATATTGCATACTGTAAAAGGTAAAGAACCAGTGTTTTGACTAATACTAAAAATCACGTTATATATTATTTGCACATATATAAATCTCATAATTTGAATTCTGGTGTTTTCAGTAGAGACAATGTTCCTTCTTTCATAGGTACAGGAAATATATTTTCCTTTGATTAATGGCTGTTGCCATTGAGTTCTGACCCTGTGCTTCAAGTCTTTAACAGTTCTTCCAGAAGTTCCTATGTTGCCTGCGCTTGCTGAGGACACAATACTGTCCAAGAGTTCAGCTGCCTGTTTTCATATTGTGCAAGCATGACTCAACCTTTGTGTAAAATTCCACAGCAACGAACTGGCAAGGTGTTTGTTCTAGGTCCTGCACATAAGAACATCTGCAAAGGGGCCCAAGAGGTTCTTGTTGAAAATACACCTGACCCACACCAGGTAGGTGGTGAAGGGCTTAATGTTCTCTGAAAATGTGTAGTTCTGCTGGGGAAGGATATAAGGCATGTAGGTGTTCTCTCCCTGCTCCTGGATCCACACCTCGTACTTCACCTCTCTCACCTTCAGGTATTTCAGATTCCACGGAATCTGCCAGGAGACAGTGAGCTTGGCCTCGTTAGTGGTTTGTACTGAGGTTTGACACTGGGGTTCTCTGACGCGGCCCGGGTGGACTGTGCTAGCTGGCTTTGATTTCTTTAAGCTAGACTTCATCTTCATGCCCTCTTTAAGGACTTCCAGGAAAGAAGGGATGTCCACCAAAGTGTCCTGGTAGATTCGGAAGAGCCACTCTGGGTTGCGGCAGCACAGGTGCCTGGGGACATCTTTGCTCGCTAGAATTCGCTCTTGCTCCTCCTTCTCCAGGTGAGCAATGCCCCCTTGTTCCCAGGGTCTGTCTGGGTGGGTGATGGTGTTCTCCTCCTTAGTGTTCCTCCAGGAGATATAGTGAAGGTCCATGCCTGGAAGGGTGGCAAGGGTTTTATATGGGGTGTACTGCTCTGGGTTCACAGCAAAGGGGAATAGCTCCACCACAACAGCTCCTCTGGGGAGGAAGAGTGAGGTGATAAGCTGAGCTCCATGCATACTGACTAACACAGAAGCACCACTGATCACCTGGACAATACTGGGGAAAGACTGTTCTTCCAGGGACACTGTGACCACTCTCATCTGGAACTCCTGGGCCAGCACCATGATTAGCTCTGCTTCATTCAGTATCAGCCTTGTTGTTGAACGACTGAACACAACAATGTATTCATCCTTTTTCTCTTTCTCATCTTCAGCACTCCCTCCATCCCTCTCCACCTCCTCCACCCTTGTGATGTTCATTTTCTCCATCAGAGCCCTGGCAAACTGCCGGATCTCATGTCCTGAGACCAACATGTTGGCTTTGGGCCCCTGCGGTTGAACAAAACCGTACTGGTACCAGGTTGTCATCTTGGACAAGCCAACATAAGATTTTGTAAAACACATGAGCTTGCCAAAGTTCCTAAGTTGATCTTTAAGTAGTGGCTGCTTGCTGCTGAGAAGTCGGTAGAGGTCAAAGTGTGGGCCTTCACCCCAGCCCTCCATAAAAACTAAACGTGCCTCATCATCTAAGTCTGAATACTGTTTCATAGTGTAGAAGGCTGGGATGAGGTCATCATGAAACACATGCATTAGGTTGTCTGGATTAAACCGGTTTAGGATCAGTGTCACATCTGGTACAAACACAGGCTTAGGCATAAACTTTAATGCAGCAACAGGGAGCTCTAAAAAGTTGAAGTACTGAGTGTTGTGATCCTCTACTGAGGACAAGTCCAGCAGGGCAGGTTGGAAGCGCCTTGAACCCAGGTTTGGCAACATGACAGAGGAATTGGAGTGAAAGAACACAAACTCCTCTGCCTCGGAGCAGTAGCAGAGGTAGTCAAAGCGGCAGATACGGTCGGTGTGCATCTTGCCAGTGCAGACCATGTGGGTGCCGTGTTCCTGAAGAGCCTGCAGGGCAACATGGTAGTCGATGCGGGCCTGTGAGAGCTCCTGGGACTGTCGTGTCATATGCAGCTCTTCCTCCAGCAGGGCAGCGTGCTCACTGAGCTTGGAATACTTCCAAAGCAGAGCTGCAACTACGGAGACCAGCAGCCCATTGAGGAGTGCTCCCACGCTCATCCTGCAACCTGCCACTGAGGCCCGCATCACTGCTGCTGCGGACCTACCTCCCAATGCCAACAGGCCTCCGACCTCAGAGCGAGGCGTCGAGACATCCGCCACCAGGAAACAACTTAAGAAAGGGAGAAGAGGAGGAGGATAGGACAGGGTAGGTGAGGAAAAAGCAAGGGAGGGAAAAGAAGAAAAAACATAAGGTTAAGATCTAATCAATAGTCAAGCCTATAATGCTGCAGTGCTCCTTCTGTAAGCAATACAATGCAGTGATTCACGAGAGCAGGTTTGAGCTCTCATCTTTGGGAATAGTGGTTGTTTACCTTGGCAAACAAATGAAACATTTTCCTAACCTTACATCCCCTGTCACACTCCCAGGATATGTCAAGACAAATTACACTGTGAGAAGGCACAGAGAAAAGAACACGAGTATTGCTCTCAACTCTACTCATCTGCATACTGAGAGAACAAGTGAGTCATTGACACATTCTAAAGCAAACAGTTAACCGCGAGCAGCTGCCTGCAAACGCCAGACAACTGGTGTTCTAAAAACCCATCTGAGGGCTAGCTTTACTAACAACAAAGGTTTCTGTTGAGATCTGCAGCCTCACCAGCGCTGAATAATCTGACGGAGGCAATAATAATCTTTAGCCTGTACAGCATATTTATTGAAGACCTCATATTTTCTTCAGTCACAGAAGGAATGAACTCTGACCTCTCACAGAACATGACTGGCCATAGCCTAAACAAAAACTGTGGTGAACACAAAATACTGCCCCTCAGTTAACAGCAGTCACACAACAGTCACATAGCAAACTGAGTACACAATATAAAAGAATGCCTCTTAACAGTTTCCCATTAATTTATGACTTGCTATTCTATTCCCCCTTACATTTCCAAGTGCATGCACATATCAACATGCATCAACACACAGCAGAGAGGAAGGAGAGATCTCACATCTGTGCTTTGGTACGACATCCAATATGTAACAAAATGGCATTTAGAGAGCGACTCTTCCCCTCTTTGAAACTGGCCTTCAGGCACAGAGTAAACTAAACCAGGTCAAACTAAACCAAGACAGGAGTTGAGGTGAACACACACACACACACACACACACACACACGTCTTGGGTTAGCAGTATCCCATATCTCACCACACACACACACACACACACACACACACGTCTTGGGTTAGCAGTATCCCATATCTCACCACACACACACACACACACACACACACGTCTTGGGTTAGCAGTATCCCATATCTCACCAAACTTCTACTACTGCTCTGACTTTTTCCTTCTGCTCCATTTATCATGTGCAGTGTTTTTTATTTTCTTCCCCTTTACTGTCTTAGATGATTTGCACTTTGGCTTTTTGTGTTCTGTAGCTGTCGTGTTCTTTCTCTTTCCACTCCTCCTCCGTTTCCTTGCATGCTGTCTCTGTTCTGCAGGAGCAGAGCGGAGTCTCTGGACTATTTTTGACATCCCAACAAGTACAATATGTCACTGGCAGCAGGGTCACTCTTTGTGATGAACTCAGTGAATACACACAGGCACGATATGCACAATTCAAAATGCAGCATGAATTAGCTGCTCTACAGAAGAGGACGTCAAGTGAAAAGACACTGTCTGAAAATGCATAAAAATATGGTGAGTCCTACTGCTGAACACTTAAATGTCATCATTGCCTACTTAAAGATGAAAACATTATGTGTATTAAGGGTTCTCATGTCCACCTAATCAGAAACTGGGGAGGTATTAAGGGGATTTCTCAGTAACGGTAACTTTTAGCGCATTAGCTAACGTTAGCTTTGATAGCAAAACAAAATGGAGGAACGCGTTCAAGTGTCGTCCACCTTTGTAAGACTGGCATAGTAATCAACCACAAAGCCAGCCATCCCACCTTTGGCAATCCTGTCAAATCATCCATCCACTGAGTGAGAGCATACGGGTCGGCCAGTCTAGTGCTGTTGGTCAGTGTTTACTTATTCAAGTAACACTTACGGTATTGGTATAGGCAGAGTGCCTAGAGAGTGCTCTGCCACTCTGAGAGTGTGGTGCTCTGGATTAGAGGGTGACACGGGAGTGGATTTTCAGTAATGTCCCATCCCACTCCCACAAAAATAATCCCATCCTGTCCCAATCCCATGAAAAAGAAAAAACAAAATCCCGTCCCGTCCCAATCCCACAAGAATGGATCCTGTCCCATCCTGCTCCCGTGTTGTGTTTCAGTTACAGTAAAAAAAAAATAAAAAAAATAAAAAATACAGTACATGGATCACACAATGCCTAACTTAGTTGAATATAAACCCAAATATGACATCTAATGTTGTGTTTTGATGTTTATTTCCTAATTATTTTTACATTCACTCCACGCTGATGCTGTTCAGAATGACACATTTGATTTCTGATGTGGTCAGACAACACGTCATAAGAACCAGTTCTGAGAGAGAAAAATGTAGTTAAAGTATTGCAGTAAAAGTAGTGTTTGGTTCCTCTGACTGATATCATATGACATCATTAGATTATTAATTCTGAAGCATCAGTGTTAGAGCAGCATGTTACTGTTGTAGCTGCTGGAGGTGGAGCTAGTTTCAACTACTTTATAAAAACTTGACTATTGTTATTATGATTAGGCCTGTCACGATAACAAATTTTGCTGGGCGATTAATTGTGTCAGAAATTATTGCGATAAGCATAACATTGTGCTTTTAAGACCATTTTTATGATTGTTGTAATTTTGCTGTCTTTAGACCATTAAAACTTATATATATATATATATATATATATGTATATACAGTACAGGCCAAAAGTTTGGACACACCTTCTCATTCAATGCGTTTTCTTTATTTTCATGACTATTTACATTGTAGATTCTCACTGAAGGCATCAAAACTATGAATGAACACATGTGGAGTTATGTACTTAACAAAAAAAGGTGAAATAACTGAAAACATGTTTTATATTCTAGTTTCTTCAAAATAGCCACCCTTTGCTCTGATTACTGCTTTGCACACTCTTGGCATTCTCTCCATGAGCTTCAAGAGGTAGTCACCTGAAATGGTTT